TTCTTTGCATTCCTATTTTCCCACTAAACTGAGTTGCATATCATCCTCTTTGCTGCCTCACTATACATATTTCTATTCTTATATTTACTCCATTATGTTGGAATTACTTTTGTTACAAGTTTCTTTTTTGTAACTTACAGGAAGCTGAACTTTTTGAGGGCAGGGATGCTGCTTTATTCAAATTTGGTCTCTAGGACTTAGCATAGTATGTGGCACTATCTTGAGTAAATATGTGTTAAACTAAATGTAACTGAGTCTGAAGGAATGGACAATCCATATAGAATATACCTGTAGGTAGTAAGTATCCTACGTTTTAATACAAATAACTATTATTTCAATTGTTTTTAAGTATTTATGATTTCTTTTTATTCTTTTGCATGTTTTCTTGGCTGAATGGAAATAGAGAAGAAGAAAATGAGGTAAGTATAATTTAACTAGTCATTCAATGATTATGACACTGACCACTAAACACATTTTAGAAATTGGGTAAAAGCTGAAAATACTCAAAATGTAGCTATCATTTTGAATGTCAAATGAAGTAATAGTTTTTAATTTTGTTTTTAGAGCCACGGTAACTTATCCCAGTGAGGGATATTGTGTATCTCAAAAAAATAGTTTTTAAACTTTAGAGCTTCAAGAGATTTAGGAAAGGTAGAGAAAGTTGGAAGTTCTAAAAATATCTTTTACTTGTTTTTTATGTATTGAGCTTCCATTTAAGATTTAACTTGAAAAGTGGATTCTGTTTCTTAAAGTATTTGACTCATGCCTGTAATCCCAACACTGGGAAGCTGAGGCAGGTGGATCACTTGAGGTCAGGAGTTTGAGACCAGCCTGGCCAACATGGTGAAACCCCATCTCTACTAAAAATAAGAAAATTAGCCAGACGTGGTGGCTTAGTCCCAGCTACTCAGGAGGCTGAGGCAGGAGAATTGCTTGAACTGGGGAGGAAGAGGTTGCAGTGAGCCAAGATGGTGCCCCTGCGCTTCAGCCTGGGCAACAGAGCAAGACTCTTGTCTCAAAAAAATAAAGTATTTGGAATTCAATGCTCCATGATAATACATGTGACAGTATTTACTTTCCAACTTGAATGACTACTATGTAATTTTGAAAACTGATTTCAGATTTTACTGTGTTGAAAGGGAAGTTATTCTCTTAAATAGCTGAAGTGGATTGAAGAACATGAATTAGAAGAATTTTGCATATGGAAAGTATACCACCATCGTTAATTTAGCATTGAGTTTGTTGCTGTAGATTTTTCTGATGCTCTTTCTACAACCTATGTTATGTCTTGAACTTCCAAAGCTCACCATTTCCTTTGGTGATTTGGCAAACATGGAGGAAGTAGTCTTCTTAGGTTTGTACCTTGTAATTGTTGCTCGTAGAGCAGTATTATTACCTGAGGGTGGGGAAACCCAGGCAGAGACAGTGATGTGTGCCAAGGCAGAGAACTCTCCAGGAAGGCAGAAGTCCTGGTCCTCATTTGGTTGCCTCATCTGTAAAACAAGTAAGTTGGGAAATTCCTCTATATCAGTGGTTTCCCAAACCTGGGACATTGATAAGAATTGCCTGTACTGCTTGTTTTTTTTAAAAAAAAAAACAAAAACTTCAGAACACGCCAAAAAACAAACCCTTGCCTCATCTTAGAGCTCAATAGCTCCAGTTGATATTTGATATTTCCTAGAGTGTGGGTCACAGATGAATATTATTTTTTTACTTTTAAAGTTTTTTATTTTTTTGAGACAGAGTCTTGCTCTATTGCCCAGGTTGGAGTTCTGTGGTGCCATCTTGGCTCACTGCAACCTCTGCCTCCCGGGTTCCAGTGATTCTCCCACCTCAGCCTCCCAAGTAGTTGGGGTTACAGGCGCATGCTGCCACACCCTGCTAATTTTTGTATTTTTAGTTGAAATGGAGTTTCATTATGTTGGCCAGGCTGGTCTCTAACTCCTGACCTCAAGTGATCCTCCTGCCTCGGCCTCCCAAGGTGCCGGGATTTTAGGGGTGAGCCACCGTGCTCGACTCAGATGAGTGTTTTTACTGTGCACTCAATGTGATGCCAGGAGACCCCTGGTCTTGATGACCTCCGACTTTTCATCTCTGATAGAACACAAGAACAAACCATATTGAGTACTGAGATGTTAGATATTGCCCTTTATACAAATGTCCTTTGAACATGTGTCAGGTTTTTTAAAAATTCTTTTTAAAAAATGCTACCTGGAAAATAGTTATAAAACTGAAAAAAATTTATGTAAGAGAAAGAATGGGAAAATTAGGTAATTGTTGAAGCTAGGAGTGGATACTTAGGGATTTATTGTACCATTTTCTCTACCTTTGACTGTGTTTGAAAATTTTCGTAATAAAGATATATATAGCTTAGTGAAATTCATACTATTTGTTATTAAAAAGGGCTTTTCATTTCTCCTGTACACATTTTAAACTGTGCAGTCCATTTGAAAGTAACTATTTATTGTAGTAGTAATTGCTTATTTTGTTCATTTGTAGGCAAAGATTGAAAATGTGCAGAAAACAGGTTTCATCAAAGGACCAATGTTCAAAGGTGTTGCTTCTAGTCGATTTTTGCCCAAAGGCACCAAGACAAAAGTTAATTTGGAAGAACAGGGACGACAGAAGGTGTCATTCAGCTTCAGCCTTACAAAGAAAACTTTGCAGAATAGGTTTCTCACTGCACTTGGCAATGAAAAGCAAAGTGATACTCCAAACCCTCCAGCTGTACCTCTTCAGGTAGACTCGACTCCTAAAATGAAAATGGAAATTGGTGATACCTTATCTACTGCAGAAGAATCTTCCCCACCAAAGTCAAGGGTGGAATTGGGCAAAATTCATTTTAAGAAACACCTGCTTCATGTAACATCCAGGCCATTGCTGGCTACTACCACAGCAGTAGCATCTCCACCTACTCATGCAGCACCACTACCAGCAGTGATAGCAGAATCAACAACTGTAGACTCACCACCCTCATCTCCACCTCCACCGCCTCCACCTGCCCAAGCCACAACACCCTCATCACCAGCACCAATAACAGAGCCAGTGGCCTTGCCACATACACCAGTAACAGTTCTAATGGCAGCACCAGTACCCTTACCAGTAGATGTAGCAGTTAGATCTCTGAAAGAACCACCAATTATAATTGTACCAGAATCTTTAGAAGCAGATACTAAGCAGGACACTGTATCTAATAGTTCAGAAGAACACATAACTCAAATATTGAATGAGCAAGCAGATATTTCCTCAAAAAAAGAAGATTCCCATATTGGGAAGGATGAAGAAATTCCAGATAGTTCTAAGATTAGTCTGAGCTGTAAAAAAACAGGTTCTAAGAAGAAATCCTCACAATCTGAAGGCACCTTTCTTGGTTCAGAATCTGATGAAGATTCTGTACGGACTTCTTCAAGTCAAAGATCACATGATTTAAAATTTTCAGCAAGCATTGAAAGGGAAAGAGATTTTAAAAAGAGCTCAGCACCTTTAAAAAGTGAGGATCTAGGGAAATCTTCACGATCTAAAACAGAGAGAGATGATAAATATTTTAGCTATTCAAAACTTGAAAGAGATACTCGGTATGTATCTTCCCGATGTAGATCAGAAAGAGAGCGACGGCGGAGCAGATCTCATTCTAGGTCTGAGAGAGGCCCTAGAACTAATTTATCCTATTCCAGGTCAGAACGATCTCATTATTATGACTCTGATCGTCGCTACCATAGGAGCTCCCCTTATCGAGAGAGGACACGCTATTCTCGGCCATACACAGATAATAGAGCACGAGAGAGTTCTGACTCAGAAGAAGAGTATAAGAAGACATACTCAAGGCGTACCTCATCTCATTCCTCTTCTTACAGAGACCTAAGGACATCATCCTACTCTAAATCTGATCGGGACTGTAAAACTGAGACCTCTTACTTAGAGATGGAAAGAAGAGGCAAGTATTCTTCAAAACTAGAAAGAGAATCTAAAAGGACTTCAGAAAATGAAGCTGTTAAAAGATGTTGTTCTCCCCCTAATGAACTGGGATTCCGACGAGGGTCATCATATTCTAAGCACGACAGTAGTGCTTCCCGTTATAAATCTACCCTTTCAAAACCTATACCCAAGTCTGATAAATTTAAAAATTCTTTCTGTTGTACAGAATTAAATGAAGAAATCAAACAGTCTCATTCTTTTAGTTTACAGACACCTTGTTCAAAAGGTAGTGAATTAAGAATGATTAATAAAAACCCTGAAAGAGAAAAGGCTGGGTCTCCAGCTCCATCAAATCGATTAAATGATTCACCTACTTTAAAAAAGCTAGATGAATTTCCTATTTTTAAGTCTGAATTTATAACACATGATAGCCATGATAGTATTAAGGAATTAGACTCTCTATCTAAAGTGAGGAATGATCAATTAAGAAGTTTTTGTCCCATAGAATTAAATATAAATGGATCTCCTGGGGCAGAATCTGATTTAGCAACATTTTGCACTTCTAAAACTGATGCTGTTTTAATGACTTCTGATGATAGTGTGACTGGATCGGAAGTATCCCCTTTGGTCAAAGCATGCATGCTTTCATCAAATGGATTTCAGAATATTAGTAGATGCAAAGGAAAAGACTTGGATGATACACGCATGCTGCATAAGAAGTCAGAAAGCCCATTTAGAGAAACAGAACCTCTGGTGTCACCACACCAAGATAAACTCATGTCTTTGCCAGTTATGACTATAAATTATTCCAAAACTGTAGTTAAAGAACCAGTTGATACGAGGGTTTCTTGCTGCAAAACCAAAGATTCAGACACATACTGTACTTCAAATGATAGCAACAACCCTTCTTTGTGTAACTCCGAAGCTGAAAATATAGAGCCTTCAGTTATGAAGATTTCTTCAAATAGCTTTATGAATGTGCATTTGGAATCAAAACCAGTTATATGTGATAGTAGAAATTTGACAGATCACTCAAAATTTGCATGTGAAGAATATAAGCAGAGCATCGGTAGCACTAGTTCAGCTTCTGTTAATCATTTTGATGATTTATATCAGCCTATTGGGAGTTCAGATATTGCTTCATCTCTTCAGAGTCTTCCACCAGGAATAAAGGTGGACAGTCTAACTCTCTTGAAATGTGGAGAGAACACATCTCCAGTTCAGGATGCAGTGCTAAAGAGTAGAAAGAGTTCGGAGTTTTTAAAGCATGCAGGGAAAGAAACAGTAGTAGAAGTAGGTAGTGACCTTCCTGATTCAGGAAAGGGATTTGCTTCCAGGGAGAACAGGCGTAATAATGGGTTATCTGGGAAATGTTTGCAAGAGGCTCAAGAAGAAGGGAATTCCATATTGCCTGATAGAAGAGGAAGACCAGAAATCTCTTTACATGAAAGAGGAGAAGGAGGACGTGTGCATACTTCTGATGACTCAGAAGTTGTATTTTCTTCTTGTGATTTGAATTTAACCATGGAAGACAGTGATGGTGTAACTTACGCATTAAAGTGTGACAGTAGTGGTCATGCCCCAGAAATTGTGTCTACTGTCCATGAAGATTATTCTGATTCTTCTGAAAGTTCAAGTGATGAAAGTGATTCAGAAGATACAGATTCAGATGATAGCAGTATTCCAAGAAACCGTCTCCAGTCTGTTGTGGTTGTGCCAAAGAATTCTACTTTGCCCGTGGAAGAAACAAGTCCTTGTTCTTCTCGGAGCAGTCAAAGTTATAGACACTATTCTGACCATTGGGAAGATGAAAGATTGGAGTCAAGGAGACATTCATATGAGGAAAAATTTGAAAGTATAGCAAATAAAGCCTGTCCTCAAACTGATAAGTTTTTCCTTCATAAAGGAACAGAGAAGAATCCAGAAATTTCTTTTACACAGTCCAATAGAAAACAAATAGATAACCACCTGCCTGAACTTTCTCATCCTCAGAGTGATGGGGTTGATAGTACAAGTCATACAGATGTGAAATCCGACTCTCTGGGTCACCCAAATTCAGAGGAAACTGTGAAAGCCAAAATATCTTCTAGGCAGCAAGAGGAGCTGCCAATTTATTCTTCTGATTTTGAAGATATCCCAAATAAGTCTTGGCAACAGTCCACTTTCCAAAACAGGCCAGATAGTAGACTGGGAAAAACAGAATTGAGTTTTTCTTCCTCTTGTGAGATATCACGTGTGGATGGCTTGCACTCATCAGAAGAGCTCAGAAACTTAGGTTGGGACTTCTCTCAAGAAAAGCCTTCTACCACATATCAGCAACCTGACAGTAGCTATGGAACTTGTGGTGGACACAAGTATCAGCAAAATGCAGAACAGTATGGTGGGACACGTGATTACTGGCAAGGCAATGGTTACTGGGATCCAAGATCAGGTAGACCTCCTGGAACTGGGGTTGTGTATGATCGAACTCAAGGACAAGTACCAGATTCCCTAACAGATGATCGTGAAGAAGAGGAGAATTGGGATCAACAGGATGGATCCCATTTTTCAGACCAGTCCAATAAGTATCTTCTATCCCTTCAGAAAGACAAGGGGTCAGTGCAAGCACCTGAAATAAGCAGCAATTCCATTAAGGACACTTTAGCTGTGAATGAAAAGAAAGAGTTTTCAAAAAACTTAGAAAAAAATGATATCAAAGATAGAGGGCCTCTTAAAAAAAGGAGACAGGAAATAGAGAGTGATTCTGAAAGTGATGGTGAGCTTCAGGACAGAAAGAAAGTTAGAGTGGAGGTAGAGCAGGGAGAGACATCAGTGCCCCCAGGCTCAGCACTGGTTGGGCCCTCCTGTGTCATGGATGACTTCAGGGACCCACAGCGATGGAAGGAATGTGCCAAGCAAGGGAAAATGCCTTGTTACTTTGATCTTATTGAAGAAAATGTTTATTTAACAGAAAGGTAAGTCTAATGCTTGCTTGACAAATTTTAACTCTTTTTTTGTTGTTGTAAGAAAAAGCCTTTAAACAATTCAGACTGTATGAGATAAAACACATGAAAGAGTTGTGGGATAAAATAAATTTAAAAGCCTAAAAAAGTGTTTTTACCTATTTAGATTTGATAGTATAGATTGCTTTCCCCATTTTTCCACTCCAGGAAAGGGAAAGGAGGTGTCTAGTTTTTTTCTCTTATTACTTATTTGATTTTCAAGGTATAATTTAGGCTAGCCCAATTTTTCTGTAATTCCTTTTACATGTGAAAGTGTGACCAAAAAAAAAAAAGAATAAAACCCCCAGCAAAATAATCTGTTCTTAGAGAAGAAAAGTGGTTACATTGGCTTTTATTTTCTTACTTTTTTGTTGTTAAAAAAAAGAAAAAGCTTTTAAACAATTCAGTATGTATGAGATTAAACACATGAAAGAGTTGTGGGATAAAGTAAATTTAAAAGCCTAAAAAAGTGTTTTTACCTATTTAGATTTGATAGTATAGATTCCTTTCCCCATTTTCCCCCTCCCCAGGAAAGATGTCTATTTTTTTTTCTTTTATTACTTATTTGGTTTTCAAGGTATAATTTAGGCTAGCCCAGTTTTTCTGTAATTCCTTTTACATGTGAAAGGTTGACCAAAAAAATAGAATAAAACCCCAGCAAAATAATCTGTACTTAGAGAAGAAAAAAGTGGTTACATTGGATTTTGTTTTCAAAAGTGTGCAGAATGAAGTATCTTTGGGTACTGTGTTAGTCCGTTTTCATGCTGCTGATAAAGACATACCCGAGACTGGGAAGAAAAAGAGGTTTAATTGGACTTGCAGTTCCACATGGCTGGGGAGGCCTCAGAATTGTGGCAGGAGGCAAAAGGGACTTCTTACATGGTGGTGGCAAGAGGAAAGGAGGAAGAAGCAAAAGTGAAAACCCCTGATAAACCCATCAGATCTTGTGTGACATGTTCACCATCACAAGAATAACACAGGATAGGCCGGCCCCCATGATTCAATTACCTCTTCCTGGGACCCTCCCACAACACGTGGGAATTCTGGGAGATACAATTCAAGTTGAGTTTGGGTGGGGAAATAGCCAAATCGTATCAGATACTTATAAAGTTAGAACTAGACTAGAACATAATTTTCTTTTTTTGAGACGGAGTCTCGCGCTGTCACCCAGACTGGAGTGCAGTGGCGCGATCTCGGCTCACTGCAAGCTCCGCCTCCCAGGTTCACGCCATTCTCCTGCCTCAGCCTCCGAGTAGCTGGGACTACAGGCGCCCGCCACCTCGCCCGGCTAGTTTTTTGTATTTTTAGTAGAGACGGGGTTTCACCATGTTAGCCAGGATGGTCTCGATCTCCGGACCTCGTGATCCACCCGCCTCGGCCTCCCAAAGTGCTGGGATTACAGGCTTGAGCCACCGCGCCCGGCCCTCTTCTCTCATTTTTTTTTAGATTATTGTTACTAGATTAAATCTGGCAATAGTGTAATAAATATTTTAGAAATGATAAAGTGGTTTATCGAAAAATCCCTAACATGAAACAAATTATAATAAGAATACGAGTAATGAAAACGTAGTCCTCTAGAGCAGGGCTTCTCAGTCTGTTTTAACTTTAACCTGTCCTTGATAATTTCCTTTTTCCTGATGTAAATGTATGCCTCTTGTGCTTAAAAAACCAAAACAAAAAGTATTCTACCCACTTACTCTCCTTTTTTGGAAGTTTTCCTGCTAGTTGGGAATCAACCTAACCATTGTACCTTTAAGCATCAAAATGTTATTAAATCAAGTTTTCCACTGTGTATAAGGTAAAAACTTAATTTTAAAGGTAGGTCCTACCAGAAATTTTTTTTTCTATTAAAAACTAACCTTTTAACAGAGAGCCTTTTATAGTTACTTTCATTTATATCTAGTTATAAATTAGGTTTACATTTAAAATATTCAATATTTTAAGTAAGTACCCCTTAGGAATTGTGTGAGTTGACTAATGGAACTTACAAGATCTTTGTAAAAGAAGATAAATAAAACTAATCAGTCCAATTCTGACTTTTCTTTAGCATTGAGAATCTCATATATATAAAACTGTGCACATAGATTTGGTTAGGAGAGGCATAAGAGGGCTTCCACCACTTTGCAGTGGGAAGGATTTATATATATTCAATTTTTTTTTTTTTTGAGACAGAGTCTCACATTGTTGGCCAGGGTGGAGCGCAGTGGCATAATCTTGGCTCACTGCAACCTCTGCTGGGCGCCACCATGCCCAGCTAATTTTTGTATTTTTAGTAGAAATGGGTTTCACCATGTTGGCCAGGCTGGTCTCGAACTCCTGACCTCAGGTGATCCGCCCATCTTGGCCTCCCGAAGTACTGGGATTACAGGTGTGAGCTACTACACCCGGCATATATATTCAGAATTTTGAAGTGCCTGTTATATGCTAGGCATTTAGGAGCCACTAAGAAGGCAAACTCTTATAAGAAATAATATGAATATAATGAAAAAATTTTTCTTATGTTTAATGGAGCAGGGCTTACCTGCCAAAATCTATGCCCATTAGTCCTATTCCAGCCTTCTAGAGCAATACAAAATAAAGCTGCTGCTGATTCTCCAAAATTGTAGCTAAGTACTTCTAAATAGATAATTTTGTTTAGTCATCTTCAGGCTAAGCATATTCATATACTCATTAACGAATTATGTCTTTTTTTTTTTTTTTTTTTGAGACGGAGTCTCGCTCTGCCGCCCAGGCTGGAGTGCAATGGCCGGATCTCAGCTCACTGCAAGCTCCGCCTCCCGGGTTCACGCCATTCTCCTGCCTCAGCCTCCCGAGTAGTTGGGACTACAGGCGCCCGCCACCGCGCCCGGCTAGTTTTTGTATTTTTTAGTAGAGACGGGGTTTCACCGTGTTAGCCAGGATGGTCTCGATCTCCTGACCTCGTGATCCGCCCGTCTCGGCCTCCCAAAGTGCTGGGATTACAGGCTTGAGCCACCGCGCCCGGCCCGAATTATGTCTTTAATCAAGAGGAATCATTCTTTTCACCTAAACGTAGTTAAAACTATCATAACACTCTTTAGGCACTTTATAAAATTGGCACTAGAATAGAACATATGTTGAAGATTAAAGCAGATTAGAGATAGCCATTTAGAGCAGCTATGCTGTTTCCTGTTTGATAGTCAAAGAGTGATTTATAGTTCTTGTAGTTCCCTAATCTTAAAAACATCTTAACAGATCTTTTTCGACCATCTTTATTTTTTTGTTTTTGTTTTTGTTTAGACCAGGGTAACAGACTAGTTCATCAGCAAAAATGCCGGTAAATAATCACATTTTCACTTTTGCTTTGCAACTCTGGTGTGGGTTATTATGAACCCAATCAAATTTTAGCAGTTTATGTTCTCCTCCAAAATAAATCTGTCTGCATGGAGAAAGTTTAGCCCTCTTAAACTTTTACCTGATTGTTCTGTAATTACACTTCATTTAAAAAATTCAGTCTGCTTTTAAACAAAATTTATGCAAATGTGATGTTACCGAAAGATACTCTAAAATATTGGATTTAGAACTCACTCATTTTTTAAGAAACCACTTTTCTCCCTTAATCTTATATCTCAACTATTATTTGCTCATCCGTGAGGTCTGATTCTTAAACTTAACTTTAACCAGCTATGTCACTATTTGAAATGCATGCGTTTTCGTATTTTTCCCAGAACCTAGTATGACTTTAACACTTGAAACTGTTCAGAATCCAAGGCTTAGCTGACCTGGACTAGGAAATAAGGACTGAGTTCCAGAATGATTGGTTTTGAACTCATCTCATCTTCCCCCATTTGCCAAGGTTAAGTTTGCCCTTCTCATGTTTTTTTTTTTTTTTTTTTTTGGTAACGTAGGTCTTAGGATTTTCAGTCTCACAAGTACTAATGATTAGATGTTTTATTTTGAATGCTTGACTTACAGGAATCATTAAATGTGAATCTAGCCAGGCGTAGTGGGTCCTGCCTGCGATTGCAGCACTTTGGGAAGTGGACGCAGGGGGATTTCTTGAGCCTGGGAGTTCACGACCAGCCTGAGTAACATAAAGAGACCCTGTCTCTACAGAATATTAAAACAAAAACAGAAATTAGCCAAGCGTGGTGGCATGAGCTGTGGTCCCAGCTATTCAGGAGGTGGAAGTGGGAGGGTCATTTGAATCCAGGAGGTTGAGGCTGCAGTGAGCCATGATCACATCACTGCACCCTGGCCTGGATGATGGAACAAGACCCTGTTTAAAAAAACCCGAAAGAATCTAATGAGATTTAGCACATATTTGATTACATATGTTATATCTTTACCAGGAAATTTATTTAATCAGTTTTTATGACATTTTACCCAATAGAAAGAAGAATAAATCTCATCGAGATATTAAGCGAATGCAGTGTGAGTGTACACCTCTTTCTAAAGATGAAAGAGCTCAAGGTGAAATAGCATGTGGAGAAGATTGTCTTAATCGTCTTCTCATGATTGAATGGTAAGTAAATTAGAATACTCTGCTTTTGTTCAACACTTCTATTAAATGTCTCTAAATATTGAATTATCAATGAAGAAAAAAATTTAACCTTTCTCCTACCTATGGATGACTATAAGCAAAGAAGTATAGTAGACACTTTGATGTGTAGTAGAAAACATATTAATAGGGAAACAAATTTCCCTTGCATTGTGCATTAGATTACAGTACCCACCATGTTTTAAGTGCTGTGTAAAGTAGTCCTATAGTATTAATTTCTATTGAGTACTTTTTTTATCTTATAATATTCATGTCCTAGGAGGTAAATATTGGTATTTTTAAGCTTTCACTATAAAGTGAAATAAAACCGTAACATTTCAGAAATGCATAAAGTGAATGTCTTCTTCTCCCAAACATCGATTCCATTGTTTTGTCGTTTTTCCAGAAAACTTTTAATGCCTTTTTAGCCTAGGTAGATGTTTTCCTCTTTTTATGTATACAGATAAAATCTTATTCTATATACTTGCCTGGATTTGCTAATCAGACCTAACCAGAGCTCTGTGTATCGACCCGACTAAATCTTTCTCTTGACTGCATTATGTATTCATAGCTGGTAATTATTCTGTTGACATATATTTGCTTCTATATTGTTCTTATAAATAGTAAATATCTTTACATTAAAAAATTTAATCTTGGCCAGGTGTAGTGGCTCATGCCTGTAATCCCAGCTATTTGGGAGGCCAAGGCGGGCAGATCACTTGAGGTCAGGAGTTCAAGATCAGCCTGGCCAACACGGTGAAACCCCATCTCTACTAAAAAATACAAAAATTAGCCAGGCATGATGACACACACCTGTAATCCCAGCTACTCGGGAGGCTGAGGCAGGAGAAGCACTTGAACCCAGGAGGTGGAGGTTGCAGTGAGCTCTCACTCCACTGTACTCTAGCCAGGGTGTCAGAGGAAGACCTTGTCTCAAAAAAATTGTTTTGACCAATCTGATTGATGAAAAATATATTCTTGTCTTTAACATGGAAAGAGTATACCTTATTTTTAATATTAATGAAGTGTTTTCTTCTCAAAGCTCAGTTTTTGGTTTTGCTCATGTTATAGTGTTGTGAAAATAAAATATATATACCTTGAAAAAATAAAGAGAAAGCATTTTTGGTATTCTTTATCCAAACTAGAGAGAGAGATGACAGTACAGATGTAAGAAGAGAAGACATAGGGTTAGCATTATTCTAACTTCATATTGTTGCCCTAGTCATTCTTCTGGGTTTTCCTGCCAACCTTGTGAAGCATACATGAAGAAAAAAATTTCTTCATATTATTCACACACTTTAGTAGTTCTCTGTTGTTCTCATGATTAGGTTCAAACTTGCCTTGTATCCAGAGCCCTTCGTAGCATATCATCAGCCTGTCTTTTCATCCTCCAGCAACTCACCTTTCTTATCAGTTATCTTTAGTTGTTTCATTTCCCTTTGTCCAAACAGGGATTGTTTTCTTATTTCTGCACACAGGCAGGGACAGTTGTATCTCCAGCTTTCTTTATGCATATCCTATGTATTATTAGAGATTCTGCCTTAAATTCTCTTCCCTCCTGAAAGCTTTCCTTTATACTGCCTCACTCTGGAGCAAATCCTTCATCCTTTGACCGTTGCTAAAAATGTTATTTGCTGCTGGGTTGGCAATAAATAATAATGTATTAAAAATGGTTAATTTCTAGTAGTCTTTTTTTTTTTTCTTTTTGAGACAGTCTCCCCTGTCACCCAGGCTAGAGTGTAGTGGCGCGATCTTGACTCACTACAACCTCTGCCTCCTGGGTTCAAGCAATTCGCCTGCCTCAGCCTCCCAAGTAGCTGGGATTACAGGCATGCACTATCATGATTGGCTAATTTTTGTAACTTTAGGAGAGACAGTGTTTCACTGTGTTGGCGAGGGTGGTCTTGAATTCCCTCAAGTGATCCACCTGCCTCAGCCTCCCAAAGTGCTGGGATTACAGGCACGAGCCACCGAACTTGGCCCCCTCTAGTGTAGTTTTAATCATTGTTAAAAACCTTTATATCTATCACATATTAAGAAGTAAATCAGTGTTTGATTTTATCATTTTTACTCTGGGATCCATGGGAGAAGAGCCTTGCCATGTCATTCTGTTTACTCTGAACAAGGATATGTTTAATAATGACTTTAGATTTTCTCAATTGTAGATCAAGTAGTTAGCTGTGTTCAAAAAATGAAAAGTGATTAGAGTAGAAGGAAGGGAAGGTGCACTTACAGAAAATAAGTTCTGCAGAGTTGTCAATGTACGGAAAGCTTACATGCAGCCTGAAAATGTATTATAGACACCTAGAGAGTGGTAGACATTTCCTGTGATGACCAGATGTCAAGGCTGTATTGTGGGTATGATCTGTTTAAGTAACAATGTAGATACTCAGTTCTAAGGAATCCCTTTGTGATGGAAGGAAAGGAAGGCTTAGTTGGGGGTTAGTCATACATATGCTAATTATACCATAGAAGTATGTATACGTGTAGTTATACTAACACATTTTTTCAAAGTTACTTTGGTTCTTTTGCTGCTTTGAAGAATTAAGTTTCCTCCTTTTCTCATTTCAGTTCTTCTCGGTGTCCAAATGGGGATTATTGTTCCAATAGACGGTTTCAGAGAAAACAGCATGCAGATGTGGAAGTCATACTCACAGAAAAGAAAGGCTGGGGCTTGAGAGCTGCCAAAGACCTTCCTTCGTAAGTTCTGTTTTAATTTCGTTTC